AACTCCTGTGACGAACCGCATGCCGTCCGAGCGCCCCATTCGGATGCGGAGATCCCGCACTGAGCGCCCTCGGAGTTCAACTTGTCGCCGGATCCCCATAACTTCGACTCTCGAGCCAAACTTCAACGTCAATTGCATCGTGTCGCGCCGATAACGCGCCGCGAGTTCGTCTACAGCCTGATACCAGCTTTTCGACACGAGCGCCACGTCTTTTAGGTAATTGCCGGAAAATTCGCGGCGCACAGGCCCCAATTTCGGCGTGTAGTCGAACATGAGGAATTCAATCACAAGAGAGAAGAGCGATAAAGGCAGCAAGGGCGGCGACATGCTGGAAGGTGCCGGCGGGGGCGACCTAGACTCTTCCGACGAGCTCGGACGCTTGATGGTCATGCGCTTTGTGAAAACTATTCTATAGACTATGCAGTTCGATTATGCTCTTAACCAGTTCTCCTTCTTGAAGTCACACATTTTCGAATTTGAGCGCGAAAGATATCGGTGAAGCGCGTCAAGACGTCTCCGTCGGTTGCAATGCGCCGCTGACGTTGCCCTCTCTTCCATCTTCGCTCTTCTCTCTGGTCATGGAATTCGTTACGTTCCGCTACAGCCCAGGTCTGCTCCCCAACAAGCGTTCGCCGGCTTGGAAAAGTCTGAACGAGATGGCAATAACTCAGTTCCAGCAAGAAACAATGAACATCCGGCTAAAACATGGGACCCAGGAGGAACTTACGAACATCCGAAACGAGATTTCACATCGAAGTTTCCTTGTGCGCGATCGTCGCGTGTACATTGGACAGAAGGAGAAATACAGCTACAGGGAACCTGGTTTTATGCTCTTGACCAAGGAGACAGAAGAGCTCAAGGTAGACTGGGATTCACTATTGGGGAGTTTCCATGAGCTGGAACGTATTGATCTGAAGCTTGTGCCACTGGAGAGTCAACATCTTCCTCTGTTATTGAGGGCGGCGGGGAAGCACTGTGTGCAGCTGGAAGCTCTGATTCTGCCACGAAAGCCGGACTGGAAGAAACCTGCGAAGGGGAAAAAATAGAGTCCGTGCTGAAGGAGCTCTACGGTGCATTGGCGCACATTTACGTATAAGGGAATCGTGCGGACTAGACAGTTAACGGTGCATCGAGAA